AAAAAAGGAAGAAACCGGCAAACCAATAAAAACCGCAAGAGGAAAGAACACAATGTACCATACATGGCTGAAGCGGTTTCATCATCCCCTGTAAGAGAAAGAATGGAGGAGGAAAACTCACGCACGGCAGCAGCAGCAGCGCCCCCATAAAGCAGATGCAGGACGTCGAAACAGGCCTTCAAAACAAAAAAGGGAAAACGGGAGGGAAAAAAAAACAACAACAACGCAGGTGGTCACTTTTTCTTCGCCGCGGCTTTTCCCTTCTCCGCCGCCCCTGCACCACCGACAGCCCCTCTTTTCCCCGATCCTCGTTCCTTCTGGAACAAATCCACCGCCTTCATATTAACCTGCCGCATTCGAAAAGAGACCTTCGCCATACGCCGCTTCACTTGATTCTCAAGAATTTGCTTTTGCCACGGAGATTCAAAAGTGTTATGAGTTTCCTTGCTGAAAAGCTCTTCGGTGTACCAGTGCTGAGCTGCCAACTTGTTCTCATAGATGCCAGGGTACGTCCATTCAGGGCCAATGACGGGGTCCTGCTGGTCCTTGAAAATTGAAATGGGGAGCGACATGCCCTCCTTCCCGTACGTGTAGACATTTAGTGGGACCTCCTTCACTGGAATCAACTTGCGATGTTCCATGCGACCGTAGTAGGCGTGCTGGAGTTTTTTTCGTTCCCGCTCCAGTTCTACTGGGGTTGGGGCCACGTCGTACGGGAGGTACACTTGCTTATAGTCGGGTGTGTCCGAGGGCTTTCCGCCGCGCTTCAGCGCGACAAGCGTCACAGAGATGCGCCCAATGAATGTTGGGCGAAGCATTTCCCGCTACGCCCTGCAAGAAGACCCACAGCGACAATACACAAAAAAAACAACAAAAAAAAACGATAAATAAGGAGAAGCAAAAGAACAACAACAACGAGGCGATGTCAAGTTATGTTCCGTTGCTTCTGCAGAGGCAGCTTCAAGGTGGAGTCGACCCCTTCTGTGCGTTCACGCACGAGCCGTCGCAACAACAACAAAAGAAGCGAAGTAAAATGGAAGGAAGAACACAACAAAGAAAAACAAAACAAAGAAGAAGTTAACACACTTCAGTCGAATGAATATATACCGCTGCTATCCCTCCCCTACTTTCTATTCCTCCTAAAGACAGTTCAACATACGCCAAAATGTACCATATTTCATCAAGCTTCCTATGCTCCTTCCTCTTCTGTTCACACTTCAATCCACTACCCTAGTCCTTCCTGCTTTTTTTTTTCTGTTTCTTCTTCATCCCTACACCTTGCCGTTCAAGGTACAAATTGACGGCCTCCCCCGACCCTCCTAGAGACAAACGCACTCCCTCAACTACCACGGTTTCTTCCAGTAGCGGAATGTGGTGCGGCCGTAAATGCGCCAGTTGGTGTTCTTCTGTCCATAGTGCAGCAGGATGCAGTTCACAAGACCGAGCGTTGTGAACGTCTTCCAAAACATAACGCGCCGGTCATCGTACTCGGACTCGGCGGACCAGCGCAGGAAATTTACCACATCCTTTGCCATTTGGCTTATCGTCGCCGGAGTACCATCCTCGTAGTCCACCATTCCGTCCGAGAGGGGTGGGGGCATGGAGAGGCAACAATCCTTAAAGTACGGATTCCAGAACTGCCCAGGCTTCAGTTCAGGGGCAAATGGAGGAATCTCCAAAAGCTCGCCGTTACCCCAGTTGTAGCCTGTAATGAGGGAAAAGATGTAATCTGCCCCACCTTCCTTACCGAAAACCGAGTGCTGCAAATCCGGTGGCTCGGAACCATTGTTCGCAAATTGGGCGGCACGCTGGTTTGGAAACGGCACGGGAAGCGTGTCCGTCGGCTTGCCTGGGCGCGGGTTCAGCACACCCTCGACATCTGGCTCGGAGTCAATCACCTCATATTGCGAGGCCAGCTGCTTAATCTCCTCTCGAGTCATGAATGCCTGGAAGTGTGCGAAGGTCATACGACCCAAGGGATGACATGGTGCAAAAACCTCCGTGAAGATTTGGCGCCCGCGACGAACGGAAGGCCAGTCGAGACTATGCCAAATCTCAAAGCGATCGTTGTGGTTCCAGTACCAATCCCGTTTGATGGGATGAGCTCGCTTCCCTGCCATGATTACCTGATGCCAAGATTTAAAATATATATATATATATATATATATATATATATATGAAATAAATGGAAAAGTAATAAAAACAACAACAAAAGTTGAGAGTCACGGTTTTTATTGGCATCGCAGGCAAATGACTAGGAAGAGAGGTCAGCGGTGCAAACGTGAAATATGCGCTGATGATTAACAGCAGGCGGGGCGAGCGAGCGAGAGGGAGAGAGGAAGTGTGAGTGGAAGCAAAATGAAGCAAACCTCATGGGAATAAAGAGGCCAAAGTATCTCCCGACACACTCGTCTTCTCGTCAAGTTCCTTCCGTACGCTACCAAGCAAACTTTGCTCCAGAACATCCACGATGACAGCGCGGAGAACGGAACTTTTGGCAATGACTTTTGCGGCCAATTCTCCAGCGCCAGCGGCGAACACGTTCACCACCACGGGGTCATAACAAAGCACACCATGAGATTGGGTAGCGTGGGCCGCCATGGCTTTCCACTCCGTGCCACCTACGGCATGCATGACGCGGAACCCCATCCTGGTTAGTACCTCTGCAATGAAATCTTTTTGCGCGACACATCCTGCGGAGAGGTGTCGGGTGGTGGCAGAAAGAGAATTCATTTCTTTGCACAGCGTCTCGTACGATGCCTCATCCTTCTCATCATACGGAGTCAAAAACCGTGTGGTCACAATGGGCAGGGCAAGCACCTTCATCTGAGTGGTGTGGCCCTCCGCTCGCCTGTACGAGAGACGTACGGTAGGGGCCTCGCCATACGGTGCCCGCGACCTGGCAGCAAACTCCACGCGCAAAACCCCCCCAGAAGTGATGTCTCCGCGGTCGTTCCTAGATTGCAGCAGCAATCCAACATCTACACCGGTGATTTCTACAAGTACATTCTCCAACTCTTCCACTGTCAGCTTGTTTCGAACGGTCATCGTCACACGTGCATCGGCCCCACGGTACTGCTGCTCACAATGCAGTTCCACAGCTTCATCCGAGTAGAGGACACCTGACGCTGCCTGCAGTAGAAAAATGAAGCGTTGCCGCGCCAGTTCATTTTCTCTTGTCATGCCTTCCAATTGCGCTGCTGAGGTGACGGTAAACAAGGCCCCCAAGTCTACATCTGCTTTACTACCAGGCCTTAAGGCCGCATCATGATTAAATACTAAGAAATTAGAGCCGGCCGTTTTATTAGACACTTCATTTGCCATTGGGGCAACTGCAATTTCAGGTTCCCCGCGAGAGCCGCTCGACACCGCTTCCACAAGCACCGCCTCTCGCTGGAAGCGCCCACGCAGCACGAGAGAAAACTCATCCTCGCCGAAACTTGGCAAAGGCTCCAACACCTTCTGCAGCAGTTCATCGTTGCCCAGCTCGACGAGTCCGACGTACTCCATGGCGCGTTGCTGCAGCTCAACGTTGAAGCTACTTCTGTACTGATACAGTATGCTCAGTATCTTTTCACGTACCGTAATGTCGTAGTAGTTGTAAAGCTTGACAAATGTGCTTAGCATGATACTTTGCGTCTCCTCCGAGGCGTCGCTGAGGTAATTTTGAAGGACTTTCACCTGCATGAGGGGTGTACTTTCCGCATTCAGGGCGATTTGGTACCCAAATTCACCCAGAACAATAGCTGCAACACGCAACAGGACTTCAGGAACAGTTTTGTGCCCCTTCAACAGGTTAAACAACGTTGTGGCTGCCCTTTTCTGAACGTACGGGTGATTGATGATAACGTGCACTACACGACAAATTATATGTTGCGGAGTGAGTCTGCCAGCCTGGGAGAGCATGGAGAGAATAACGTCAACGTACCACCCGTAATCGACGCAATGCACCTCAGCCAGGCGGGAAATGGCAAGCACAAGATTCTCCTTGAAGACGCCATCCGCGATGGGGAGGTACGAAAGAAGTTCTTCAATGACCTCTGTGGCGGTCGCATCGTCGCACATGTTCACGCTGATGTCCAACGCCTTCGTGCGGATGGAAACGTCCGGGTCATGAAGAGCCACAACCACCTGCGGTTGGTACTGGCTACAGTACGTCCTGTATTCGTTGTATGACCTCTTAGACGAAGACAATTTTGACAGTAAACTAAAACCCAAATAACGCAAGTTTGATTCCTTCTTTTCCGTCACGAACCCACTGAGGACATCCAGACAGTCACTATAAAGCCGGGTATCTATGTCCCACTCAATGACAAGAGAAATCACTTCAAAAAACACAGCATTCATAGCACTCACACGATTCATAGTTCCCTTTTGTTTCTGTTGGGCTTGCGCGTCCCGCAACACTCTATCTGTCGCCTGCACAATCATCCGCAAAACAAGAAGAATATTTTCCTTCAGCACGGTATCTGTAGGAACGGGAAATTTACGAAGAAGGCGTATGGCCATTGCCTGCAACCACGGTGCAGGGACCCCATAGTATACATATCCCGGTTCCGTTTGCTTTGCCAGTATGATCTTTCCAAGGAGTCCAATGACTCGATCGGGTACGAAGCGAAAGAGATGAAAATTGTCCTCATTAAGGCACCCCGTAAGAAAGAGTGCGGCGCAACCACTCATTCCAAACAGCGGACTATGAAGAAGTTCAGTCACAGCCGGGACCACTTCAGCGAGGTCCACAACAGCGGGATACTTTCTATATATGCGCAAGTACGTCAGCACCGCCTTCTTGCGAATATGCACATTCCAACGATCATTCAAGAGAATACCTTTGACGTCTGAAGACAATACCTCCGCAAAATCCTTCCCACCCGTATTGGCAATCGCCGTCAGTGCCAAGTTCATATTAAACTCCTGCTCTGACAGAAGGTCCTTGTAAATCATATGTGTAGCTAACTTCAACAGCGCGTGATTCTCGTGCAGAAACACGGTAACAGAAAGGTAGCCGATCAGTTTCTCTGCCGGGGATGTTAATGCCAGAAGCTTTACCCCTTCCATGTGGCCAAATTCTACGGGGTACCCAAGCATTGCGATAAACATCAACTTGCAGACATATTTTTTCCTTTCATACGTGCTCATTGCCGCCGCGTTGCGAAACTTTGAACGGATCTTAACTAATTCCAGGTCGACACGCTTCTTTTCTTCAGTCAGGCTACTTGTGGCTTTCCGCACGTCCTGGATAAAGTGAGCCAGACCACGCATGTCCATTTTCCCGCAATCCTCCCTCCACTAGGCGCGCAGCTTTTAGTAGAAGGGTGGCGACTAAAAAGGCAAAATAACAATAATAATAAAAAAAAAAACAGAAAACAAACAAACAATGCGGAACTGCGTGAATAAAACGAGTTTGTTCTGATACCTTGTGCTGTGCATTTATAACAGTAACTAAGGCGCTCGCTCTGGCGGACATAACTATCCCCCACCCCACCCCACTGAAAAGGAAGAAGGGATGGATAGAATGAGAAAAAGAAAGATAAAATAGAAGAAATATTACAACCACCGTCATTTCAGCTCCGTCAGCTATGAGTCGAATAAGCGAGCCATCCCCTCATGCGTGGGGCGTGAGGGTGATGGAGGCACAACGCCTTTGTCTTTTCGCACTCTTTTCTTTACCGGGGTCTCCGGTGCTAAAACCTCTGCGTCGCCGTCTTGCTCCTCCGCGGAAGCGTGGTCGTTGTCAGAAGCCGACGAATAGGGGTTGGCCCCGCTGGTAGAGCAATCTACAGACGTATTCCCCGCACCTGACCCCGCCCGCATCACCACCCGCCTTCTTGTCAGCTTGTAAGCAGGCAAACGGTGGTGGGAATGCACCAAGCAATTTCCCTGCGATTGCTTCACGGACGACAAAAAAGATCTTCGATCCATCTTGCCTTCCCGCAAACTAGCGTGGGGCACACTCGTACTGAGGACGGAAGGAGGATGGCAAGTTTTGGCGCCGAAGGGATAAATAGTTTTGTCACGTCCTGTAGTTTTAGTATCACCACCTACTGCCTCCACAAGCGTTGAGAGGCTGCGGCTAGAGTCACATGCAGTAGTCACAGTAAAGGCGTTGGCTTCAGCGGCAGTGTTATCCACCACCAGATGTGAGCCCGCCAATGCAGCTTGGAGACGAACGTGGATGAGGAAGTCACACCCAAAGTTCACCCTAAGGCTACTGAGAACAGACGCTACTTCAGCCGGGACTACGTCCCGGCTCTCCCCTGAAGGCGTGCTCTCTGTACCATACCGACGCAAAAAGGCCTCCCACGGGGCTCTCAGCAGAACATCTCGCAGAATTGTGGGACTCGCTGAGAGCTTCAAAAAGAAACGCGGCAGAAGCACCTCCTCCAATTCCTCACCGTACTCTTCAATCATTTTCCGCCTACGTGGCAAAGATAATTCGGAAGGTGCGAGAATGCCCCAGAACAAAATTCGAGTTAGACGTGCCATTATCTCAACGATCACCACCCCCATGGATAGAAGGGCCATGCCCACAGGATTCCTTTTTCCCAGCCGTCCTCCCACCTTCTCCACCGCCGACTCACATGCTTTTATCAGTTCAAAAGGTGATGACTCTTCCACGTTTTCCTGGCGCTTCCCAAACACAAATGCATGAATTTCCTTCAGCGCCGCCTCAATAGTATCGGACCCAAAAGCCTTTTGCTGTGAAACAACACAGAAGCACTCTGGAAGCTCTTCCTGCATGACTATAGAGGATACCAAAGGCGATAGCACCCATACCGAGAACGTAAGAAAGCAAAGAACATATTAAGATAAAAAACCAAACAGGGTCACAAAAAGAAGAAACCAAGTAGTCGTTTGAAGACAACATGTGGAAGAAAAACCCGCATTCTCTGAGCCGTTAACTACGGTGCATTTTCCTTTTTTTTTGTGCTGGCACCTTAATACCCATGCACCGTAATTCTATCCCTGTATATTATGTCATACTTGACATTTACCGCAGAGGATCTCTCAAGTGTAAAGCGCCTTGCACCCCCATTAACAACACAACATAAAAAAAAAAAAATAGCCACATCTTTCCTTCTCCCTTTTAAAGCAAATTACACACAAAAAAATAATAAAATAAAAATGCTACCCCATCCGTTTTCATTCTTCGTTTTTTAGCAATACCGTGCGCCCATAAAAACAAATTATGCAACACAGACTCGCCTATCCCTGTTAGCATTCCTACAGATGTGGAGAAGCCAGAGTCCCGTCGCCGCGGGCAACAGCACGGACAATACTGACGCATCCTTTAAGCTGTTCCAAGACGACAAATTCATTCGCTTTATGTGCCTGCAAGATAGAGCCAGGACCACAGACAACCACCAGCAGCACACCTATTCCCTGATATTGACCCCCCTCAGTGCCACAGACTACTTTACGCGTTGCGGAGTCCTTGATAAGGCGAAGCAGGAAAATAGTAAACAATTTCTTTTCATTGATAAGTTCAAAAAAAGAAGCGTTGCACAGGCGCTTCAGTTCAATATGGGCACCCTTAAACACCTTCTTTGCGGCCGGAACAAGTATGCCATTTGTGTGCGCCTTTATCCTTCCTTCAATCTCATCAGCCCGAGCTGCCAGTATGCATCCCATTTCGCAAAAAAAAAAAAAAATCACACTTCAAAGGAACCATATTCAGGGCGTTACAGCCTTGAAGCACATTTGTTAACATGGTCGGAAAAGGGGCACCAAAGAAATTATCCTGCAGCCCATAAACTTTGACGTCCTCCGCAATGTCATTTATCTTCACAATGAGCTTCGCTGCATAATTGACGGCGTTACAGCACCCCTTTTGCCAGCCCAAACGACAAATACGCGGCTTTGCCATGTGAAGTAATTCAATATGAACGTGTCCCTTTGCGCGCCAAAACCAATTGATTAGAGATTGGCTCCCCAATGATGCAGCCGCCCGCCTTGATGTTGTGGTCCCGCAGGAATTGTGCCAGAACCTTCCCACTGAGGCAGCTAACATCCTCGTCGTACGTCAATGCGTCGTCGATCAGCTTCGCACGCTCCATCTTCAGCAGCTCGGGAGTCAGCGACATGCAAACGGCGATGACGCCCTTCATGTCGGACGTGCCGCACCCGTACAACTTCCCGTCCCTCTCCGTCAGCGTCAACGGGTCACTGCCCCACTTTTTCCCGTCCACTGACACCACGTCGCTGTTGCCGAAGAAAATGATGCTTCCCTCACCCAGCAGCGTCGCCCACAGGTTCGTCTTCGTCTTGTCGGGGTTGTGGACCAGCGTGCACATGACGCCGGGCCCCTCCAGGTAGCCCTTGCAGTAGTGGATGCGCTCAAGATTCGAGTTGCGGCTCGTGGTGTACAAAAGACACACGCTTTTCCAGTCACTCAACGCAGTTCATAGCTGTAAAGAAATGAATCTTGTGGAATACAAGTAAAAGAGAGAGCAAGATCCTTGCAGTGGAGCAGTTTGCAACCTCAACGTACACAGTCAGAAGGAATATCCAATTATTATTAATAATAATAATAAACTATTTTCCCCTTGTGTTCTTATATCTGACCCTGACGACAAAACAGGGGGGCCGTCACTTTGCCATCCAAGCTGTCACATCACCCCGCCAAACACAACAGGAAATATTCCCCCGTCTGAACGCATATAGGTAGTGGTCACCACGCTCTTGAGGGGTGACCCAACAATGGCCTGCCCCCCATGGCCAGCAAGCAATAAAGGAAACCCTCCACCGCTTCTACCCTCTCTCCCGAAGGTTCCCTAAAAAGGCCGTGAAGATGCTTTAGAATACAGAAGAATCTTCTCAACGCCTGCCTGAAAGATCCCCCATTCGTGAAACACCAAAGTCTGCAAGTCCTCGAGCTGCCACACCAACTATAAACATATCTTTAAACACACACAAATTCCACAGAACTTTTTGACTGCACGAACTGCAAATCCACACCTACGCCCTGGCTTGCGGACAAAGGCACCTGCAACAAATGCAAGGAAAAAGGCCCACCAGTTTTTAATAAAGCGCCGTAGCTTCCTTTTGCGTTTGTTCCCCTCCTTGCCGTAGCAGGTGAAGGCACAATCCAGTCATCCTGGATACATGGGAGATCAACAACATGATTTCTGAGACCCTAATGAAGAAGCTGGAAAAACAACAACTATATATATGGCATCAAAACAAAAGCATTCTATGGCCCTTGAGGCGTTGTATGAACATGCTACACGGACAAACTGCAGGGATACAATGCTGTACAACGTCGACACACATACACACACACGCACGCAAAGAAAGATCAAATTAAATTTCACTCCTTCCGTTCAACACGGGTTCACGTGGTATTCAATTTCGTCGGTGAATGTAAAACGGTCCATCCATTGTGCACCACTCCACACTAAGCTCCTGCCAGCGGTAATCCGTCATGGAAAAAATTTCAAAGGCTTCCGGATCACGAATCGCAGCGACGGAACGGCTATGTGGATAGAGATCATCAAAGCATAGAATTCGCGTCCCACGTGGAACATGACGAAGCCGCTCTGAAAGATAGTGCGTCAATGATTTTGGAAACAAGAGATTGGATAGTAGTATTGCCGTTCTCCCCCTTTCTTCATTGAACATTGTCTTATCAGCAAGTACTTTTGTCATATCTACAGCTACTATTTTCACATCGGGCATCGTTCTTCCGGAAATAGACTCCAATTCTGGCTTAAGTATATCCCACGCAGCTTTTGCAACACTGGCGTTGTGCTCACTAATCTCGATTCCCACGCACCGAGCACCTGTAAGGAAAGCCACTTGAAACAGAACGGATCCGTTGCCGCACCCAAGGTCATAAAATGTATCGTCAGAAGTTATTTCCATCAGGCGTATCATTCGAGAGACAAAGGTCGGGAGAAGTGACTTTGCGCATAAATGGCGTGAACCCGCAACTTCTGTGATGCGTTTACAGCTCAGGTTACTGTAAACACCATTCAAGACACGATCAAGAACAACACAAAAGCAACGTTTTGTGATGCAATGGTGGCACCCACTTTCATTAGGCTCATGCTGCAAAGGCAATCGAAAAGGATCATGAGGTGTTCCACTGCCTTGCTCGCCTGAGAGAGGCGTTTCAGGATGCGCTGCACCACAGACACCGCCGTCGCCTTTGAAAGCGGCGACTACTTCCAATGACCGTTTTTGCAATGGTAGACTTCGAGATCGTTTTCGTCGCAAAGCTAGGCCAGTCATAGTTTAATCTTTCTTCTGGTTTTAAAAAACCGATTGATTCCTGGTATTGACAAAGAAAAACAAATATAAATTGTATGACAAATAAACGTTGAGGATGCAGAGAAAGAAAGTCAACAAAACCAATAAAGGCAAAAACAGAAAGAGTATTTTTTTCAGTCAGCTAAAAAAAAACAACACACACACATTACCTAACAATAATGTCAATCAAAACTTTATTTTTTTAGAGCTTGTAGCCGCTTTTGTAGCATTTCTCTTTTTGCATCCAGAAGCCCACGTCGAAACTCGTCTTCAGAAGGGAGATCTACATCTACAAAATACACAGAGTTGCCCTCACGCCCCCTTTTCAGACACATTCCCCCATTATTTTCTTCATAATCAAGTCTTAACCTAAGTTCTGCCTTTTTTTCAACCTCAGACAAAAAAATCTCGGATTCACATGATGCAAGCTGTTTCAAGTAGGCATTGCTGGAATAAGATGACAAACCTTGAGAAGACTGTGAATCTGAGGACTCTGACTCTGACTCTGACTCTGGTTCATCCAATGCATCGACGGTATATCCGTTCACACCCTTATCCATGTCAACTTGAGCCTCTGGAAGCTCCTTTGCACAACCGAAGTATAGTTTTCTAGATGATGTCATTTTATGGCCTTTCCCCGTAAGTGCTGCCAATCGTCTTTCCCAAGGATTTTTTCTGGCAATAAGGTGGTTAACTTCGTCATTTTTAGATCGGACAACAACTTCTCCATGAGTTTCGATACTAAGCAGTTGTGGATCACGCAATCTAGCAATTTTATCCGCAAGATCCCGATTCAATTTAAAAAGAACATACTTAACAACTTTGACATCGCTAACGTCATGAGGATTCGTTGGGAGGCTACGCACCCCCAGCCGCAAAAGACGTTCTTGTTCAGCATTATGTTTGGATAATTGGTACAACAAGGTACTTTTTCTTTCTTTTTTCCTGGCCAATGTACCTTCAATCTCCCTCAAATAATCCTGCATTCCTTGAAATACGAGCTTTTATAAGATAATAAAGTAGACACAAAAGCGTAAACAAAGATGTTTCTTCAAACTGAATTGGGCCACAAAACGTACATATCCACGCAGCAAGAACAAAACAACAACAATGTGATTACAACAAAAACCACAGGAAAAAAATGGTGATAAAAAGAAGAAAGCAAAGTAAGTAAGTAATCAGAAAGGATATTCTGCATACGCCTGTATCATGTATTTGATAGATATCATCTTTGCATCAGAAAACAAAGTAATATTAGTATTACACAGGGCTCCTTCCTGAACTCCTCTTTTCCCCCGCTTCTTTTCCTTAGTCCGCCTTGGAGAATCGATACATGTAGAGTACAGACAAAAAAATCAAGCAATAAAGCCCATGACACTGTCTGCCACAACAAATAGAAAACTCAACACGGTCAATATATCCCAATTACATTATCACAGGGAAAAAATCATGTAGATCAAAATTTCCCACAATGGCATAAAAAACACAATAGAAAAAAAAACTGAACTTGCTCCTGTACAAAAGGCTCTCCACCACCAGCGATAATCTTCCGCACATACCGATAGGTATAAATCATGAGTATCGCCACCTCCAATATAGTCAAAATGAAAATTACAGCAACAAGAAGTAATAAACTAAAAACGTCATAATATTTATTAAACCAGAGGGATTCAAGAATAAAGTACATATCCATAAAAACGGCCAGAAAAGAGAGGATCCCTGAAAACAAAACAACTATCTTTCTTTTATACCAAGGTTATAAATGCACATAACGTGGTATCTGGCTATGCATTGATGAAACCATTACTGTACGTCTTCCAAATCTCATTACGGCGCCAATAAATACCAACATAACACTGATAAGGAGCCACATTCCCACAACAGCAGTTAATAATAACAGTGGAACAAAGAGACTACTTGATTGTGGCCACAACATAAAATTCATCACGAAAAAAAATCCCAAAAATCATTCCAAAAATACGTGTTCCAGCAGCAAAAATGTACCTCCACTTTTTCATGTTCCACAGTTTCAGTGGCCTTGCTGATGTATACACAGCATACGAGCCCAAAAATGCGAAACAAACTAAAAGCACCGTAAATGGGCTACCGCGAATTTGCAGAGAAAACCCCCCTAAAAATGCAAAAACAAGCACAGTAGAGGCCATACCTATGAGCTTCATCTCAGTTCCAGTAAAACAGGCCAGAAGCCCCCATGTAATGGGGGTGAAAAACATCACAATTTAGCAATTCCCATCCTGTGTACCCCAGGGTATCACTTTCTTCAATATCAATACCACTCACTTTGCTTAGGTCTCGTCCAACAACACGAGCCATAAATGCCGCAATAAAAAACTACACAAAACACAACAAAGAGTGTATAGCTCATAATTGAATAACAAAGATTATTCTGCCCATAAATAATTAGGTATATATATATCCCATCTGGATAACCACGGATCCTCAGTTCGAACCCTTGACACACCATAACTCCACACAATACAATCAGTTATCACTTGCAGAGGATGCGAAGGATTCATATTTTTTCTCTTTCCATGACGCTTTACATGCAGTTTCAGAAAGATTCTCCAAAGAATATGACTTACCCACAAATGACAAGATCCGGTATTTGTGCATAGAATCCCCATTGGCATTCCTTACTTCCTCCAAAGAATACTTGATCGTAAAGTGTATGTGGTTATTAATGAACATAATGCCACGAATTACGTAGCCAAGAAGGATTCCAATGTCGTATTCATTTTTCTCATTGATCTCAGCCAGTGGCAGCCCATCTAGAATCAAATTAATGCGGTATTTTGCTTAAATAACTCTAACAAACAAACAAAAAAAGCAGTGAGCTTTTTGCTCTCTATTTCTCTTTCACAGATTTCTTCACACGTAACATCATTAAATACACTACTATTTTCGTACGGAGTAGATTGTATACGATCTCCCATAAGCACTCCACCAATGCCACCCACCTCCCCTTCCACAGGTACACTGGGACGGCGCATGGTAAAACATTGTAATAGTCATAGTTTGGATAGGCTCGTACAGAGGTCAATACATTCACCTGAATTGTAACAATTTCATCCCTCCAAAAAAAAAATAAAAACCTCGGATGAACGTTTGGTAAAAACAAGGCATTGGTCCCATCCCCAAGAATAAGCGCGACAACCAGCACACCATACACATCTACAGATGAGCAACACAACGCCATCCCCCCAAAATAGGCACACACACACAAACCTAAACTATGAGGAACCTCTACCCAAAGGTGAAAAAAAGATGGGAAAAGGGGGAACATTATATATATATATATATTAGATTCAAAAGAGGAACGTACAAACACCCAATATAACAACCAAGAAGACATAGTAATAATAAAAATAAAACAGCACTAATAATCCCCGAATAGTATCGTAGAAGGACCCCCATGCCGCTCTCAGAGCGGCTGGCACACTAACGGAGCCGCGTCCTTGCGTCTCGTCCTGGCAACAAAGGGCCACTTGCGGCTACACTTGCACTCGCACAGTAAATACCGAGTTTATGTGTTGCTACTACCATATTCCCATTCTCTGGCGCTCTTCTGGGATGACATCAACTACAGCTGTACATAGAAGAAGGCAATTTTACTTCACCCCTTTCTCGAATCATTGGTGCGGTAGTGTGAGAGTGCACTTCATGAACCGTGCTCGATGCTCTTCTTGATGCAGAAGGCTCAGTGGCGCCTTCTCCTGACTAATGCCTTTACTTTTCCTCTTTTTTTTTGTATGTGTGGCTGAGTGCTGTAAGGCGGCTACACGCATCATGACTTTATGTGGAGGGCTTTGTATTGAAATTTATTGTAATTACCGGATACTGCTTGCTGGTGCATATACTTGTATGTATATATATGCATGTGTATGCGCAATTGTTTTTCTAAAGCGCCAGAGGTATGCTTTATCATACGGTGAGCTCCGTGCTTTGAGTGATTCCATGCTTGCGGGCCATGGCGGGTTGGGGGATGGGCGTGAGATGATCATGGGAACGTGTTATGGGGATTTGCTACAGCAAGGGAGTTGACACGGAAGAAGGTGCCAGTTGGGGAATTTTGAGCCATGTGTTACCACTTGTGATGATTTTGTTGAGGAACGATGAAGGTTAGAGTAGGCGCAACCATATATGGGCTCCATGCATGTAGT